CGAACATAGAAGGCTAATCGAGTAGGAGGAGCATTCGAAGGAGTTTTATTTGCTCGAACAAAAGTAAAGCTCATTCTAGTTCCGGTTTGAAGAAGCAATAAAGTGATAAAAGTGCCAAAGATAAGAAAGATACTCGGAGCGAGCAAGTCAGAGGAAAACGGAGGAAGTTTCCTCCTTGCCCTCATTGCGAGCAAGAGGAATCATACAAAGAAATACTGCTGGTACAATCCAAGAGTTCAATGCGGATCATGCCATCGGTTACGTCATGTTGAGAAGGTCCGTAAAAATAAATCTAAACAGCAGCAGAATCAACAAGCTCAAGTTGCTTGAAGTCCCTTAAAAATAAGAAGAGAAGTTATTTATTGTAACTTGTTGTCTTGTCACCACTAATCTTGGAGTTTGGTTGTTGGATAGTGCTTGCACAAATCATATGACACCTAATTTCGACATGTTCAAGGAGCTAGATAAGAGCTACAACTCAACGGTTAAGATTGGTGATGGAACTTACTTGAAAATCACAAGCAAGGGTATGGCTATTGTGGATACATCTTCGGGTACTAGACTAATTCTTGAAGTTCTTCTAGTTCTTAATTTAGATAAAAACTTGTTGAATGTGGGTCAATTGCTTGAAAATGATTATTCTTTGGTGTTTAAAAACAAAGCTCGTGATGTGTTGGATCCTAAAGGAGCCAAGCTTCTCTCCGTTAAAATGACCAAGAGATGCTTTCCTATTCAATAGAAAAAAGCTAAAATTAAAGCCATTTCTACTGTTGTTGATGAATCTATTTTATGGCATAAAAGGCTAGGCCACTTTAATTATACTCGCTCTAAACAAATGCAAATGAATGAAGTCTGGTTATTGATATGCCTACCGTGAGTGAAAATTCTGAAGTGTATGGTGTGTGTCAATTTGGGAAGCAAACAAGGCTTCCATTCCCTACAAATCAAGCTTGGAGAGCTTCTATAAAGCTCCAATTGGTTCATTCGATGTGTGTGGTCCTATGAGGACACCTTCACTCACGAGCGAGCAGATATTTCTTGTTATTCATTGATGATTTTAGTAGAATGTGTTGGGTTTATTTTTTGAAGCAGAAGTCAAAAGTGTTTTGTATGTTCTTGAATTTTAAAGCAATGGTGGAGAAGCAATCTGGATTTCAAATCAAGACTGCGAGGTCCGATAATGGGACAAAATATACCTCAAATCAGCTTGAAGAATTTCGTCAAAAGCTGGAACCCATCACCGAACTTACTATCCCATACTCTCCACAACATAATGGAGTGTGTGAGAGGAAGAATAGGTATGTGATGAATATGGCAAGGTATTTTCTATTTGAGAAGGGTGTTCCCAAGCATTTCTAGGCAAAAGTCGTCAATACCTCCGTGTATTTGCTCAACAAGCCGCTAACTAATACAATTAAGGGTAAGACTCCATTTGAAGCTTGATTTGGGTTTAAACCTTCGTTTTTCATCTCAAGATATTTGGTAGTGTATGTTATACTCGTGTTCCTGATCCAAAAAAGGACAAGTTAGAGAAAAAGACGGATGTTGAGATCCCGATTGGTTATAGCACAACTCCAAAACCTATAAAGTCTTGGACATAGCCTCACAAAAGTTTATGGTTAGAAAAAATATTAAGGTTGATGAATCAACAACGTGGGATTGGGAGAATCCAATATTACTTCTCCAAATTAGATTGGTCTTGTGGGAAAATGTGCCTCAAGAACAAGGTGTTGTGTTTGAAGAAGAAGATTCGATTCAAATGATGAAAACCAAGTTGTCGGAGGAATAAAAACACTTGTAGGCATTTATGAAAGGTGCAATATTGTTATGCTTGAGCCAAGAAGTGTTCAAGAAGTTGTAGAGTCTCCCGAGTGGAAGGCCGCAATGGAAGAAGAACTTAAAATGATAAACAAGAATGGCACTCGGGTTCTTGTTGACGAGCCATCCGACAAGCATGTAATTGGTGTAAAATAGATTTTTAAGCTCAAGCTCAATTCGATAGGTCAATCAGCAAGCATAAAGTAAGGTCGGTGGTGAAAAGGTATTCACAAGAGCCCGGAGTTGACTATAATGAAACTTTTGCACCAATGGCAAGGTTTGAAACCATCAAACCGATTCTTGCCATAACGACTCATAAAGGCTTGGAGTGTTTTCCAGTTAGATGTGAAGTCAACTTTCTTGAATGTTTAATTGCATGAGGAGATTTATGTAGAGCAACCCGAAGGCTTTGAGCTTGAGCAAGCCTCAAACAAAGTATATTTACTGAAGAAAGCTCTTTATGGCTTAAAGCGAGCTTCACGGGCTCGGTATAGCAAAATTGATGAGTATTTGGTGAAGTTGGGATTTAGCGAAGCTCGCAATGAGGCAACTCTATATATGAAGCGAGATAAGTAATGATGTCTTGATCATTTCCATCTATGTTGATGATCTTCTTATTACCGGTAGCAACATCATTTTTGTTGATCAATTTAGGAATCAAATGAAACAAATCTTTGAAATGAATGATCTTAGGAAAATGTCATTTTTTCGGGAATTAAAGTTCTTTAAGTCTTACATGGCATCTTTTTTTCAGCACAAATATGCCAAAGAGTTATTGAAAAGGTTTGCAATGACCAAGTGCAAACCAATCTCTACTCCTCCGGTGTAGGGACAGAAGTTAAGTAAAGATGATGTAGCGAGAAAAGGTTGATGCTACGCTTACGAAGCTTGGTTGGTTGTCTTTCTTATTTGGCAATCACTAGACTCGATATATTGTTTGCAACCAATGTGCTCTCAAGATTCTCACACTCTACCAAGTAGGTGTTGAGATATGTTAAAGGAACAATTGATTTTGTTTGATGTACGGAAGGTCTACTAGCTTGAAGCTATTGGGATTCACCGATAGTGATTAGGCGAGCTCAATAGATGATATGAAGAGCACATTAGGTCAATGTTTTTCCCTTGGTTCAGCCATGGTTAGCTGGTCTACACGAAGTAGAAAATTGTTGCTCAATCAACGGCAGAAGCATTTATATTGTCTGCTGCCGATGCTCGTCAATCAAGCAATCTGGTTGAGGAAGGTGTTGGTTGATTTGAAACAAGACTCGAAGGAATCCTACAAAGATTCTTTGTGACAACAATTCAGCTATTGCTATTGCAAATAATCTAGTGTTTCATGGAAAGACAAAACATATCAAGATCAAGTATCATTCATTAAGGGATTATCAAAATGAAAGAGAAGTCAAGCTCCTCCATTGCGAGTGGTGAGGACCAACTTGCGGACATCTTTACAAAGAGGTTGCCAAAAGGAAGATTTGAAATGATTAAGCTCCACCTTGGCGTTTGTAGCAGCTTTTGTGCCAAGTAGGAGTATCAAAATGAAAGAGAAGTCAAGCTCCTCCGTTGCATTAGTGAGGAGCAACTTGCGGACATCTTTACAAAGAGTTTGCCAAAAGAAAGATTTGAAATGATTAGACTCCACTATGGCGTTTGTAGCAGCTCTTGTGCCAAGGAGGAGTGTTGACGGTAAGCTAACACAAGAGCTGTCAACACATTTTGTGTAACCTTTTGTTGTATTTTTTTATTTAGAAAATGTTCTAGAATTTTGTTTTTGTGGTGGAGCTTAATTTTAGGAACTAAATTTGAAGACAAATCTCCTTAAAGTTAGGATTAGTTTACCAACTCCATAACCTTTGTACGTTTATAAATTTAAATGAAAGGAATGCAACGTTGTTGGGGAGCTCCATTTTCACTTCTGTTTTTCTTCTCTCTTTCCCTCGTGCTTCTGCCATATTTTTTCTGCATTTGGTTAACAGTTTCCATATGAGGCAAGTATCTTTCTTCGCGCAATTGACCAGCCGCCACGGTCTCAGCTAGAGCTTCCTGGAATTTATCCATACCTTGTGAAAGAGCATCTTCTGCTTGCTGGCATGAGTGTCGAAGATTCAAAACATCCACAAGTTGCTGTTCTGTCAAGGGGTCAATGTGAGGCACGAGAATCTGTATTCAACATAGATTTGTGAATATATCTCAGAAAAAAGTAGATCAGAATAGAAAATACGACACAGAAAACCCAGAAACACAAAATAAAATGAATACTTGACTCAATGAAGCAGCCATTTGAATGATATAAGAACTTAATCACATGAACCAAATGATAAGATGCTAATCTGCAACATATGTTGGTGCCATACTTGAGTCTCAACCACAAGCAGAAGAAGGCCAGGCATTACCGGTACTACTATCGCCATGGGACAAGCTCAGTCCTTGTGCATGGCTAGTTACATATGTTGGTGTCGATAGTTAGCCTAGGGAGTGAAAAATGCTCTATTAACAACCGCATGGAATCAGCCTGACACTAAACAATAGCAGAACTCTTCAAGTCGAATTATCGGTACATATATACGTTTTACATGACTAGACAGGACATGCTGAGTATTAGTCACCCATGTCACTGTTGGACCATGCAATTCTAACACTTAGACATGAACTCTACCTAGCATGTCCAGTGCAAGACAACACAATAACCACAGTTTTGGAATAACTAGGGCCATAACCATATTACTTCAGAACAACATTTTCAGCCCCCTTAAATTCATGGAGTAATTTGCCAGTTAGGATAGCATCATACAGCTACCAGAACCACAGGTAAACATAAAGAAACTGTTAACATGATGAATGGCATTTAGGTATTCTGAAAAGACCCAATAATCTCTAACTTGAATAGAAGAAATATTTGCAGCAAAGGAGACAATGACCTAAAACCAACTGTAAAATTAATTAACCAGACTGGCAATATGTCACACACCTTACCAATTGCCAGTATAATGCTCGACATGAAAGAATTTAATACACTGACCCGAGCATCAGTGCAAACCGGAGTGCGCTGATAAGTTGTCCATTTTTTAGATCAATTTTCCCATTTTGGCAAAGTGGTTGGATCAAAATGAGGTATTTCAAAAGTTCAAAAGCACATTAACAAATAAATAACCTTCAGCTGATAATTTTAAATAATTAATTCATCACCTCAAGAAGCTCTGTAGGGCGAAACCCCCAATCCACAAGAAAAACCTTTCTGCCGATGATTTCCACAAGCCAGACATCACATAGAAAACATCAGCTTTCGCTGCAGTTGCTTTCATGCGAAAAAGTTCAAAATAGTGGTTCATGTCGGTTTCTACAAGCATGCGGAGCTCTACTTCACTTATACGAGCATGCTCATTTAAAGCAGTACGCATATCACAAATATGTCTTTTTTGCTCCTCCAACCAGCGCCCATACTCCATCTCAAAAGTTGCAATCCCTGCAGAATCCTCAGAGTCAGCATATAGTTGATAGATAAATGTGAACGAACAAAATTAAAGTTAAACTACCAGAAGCGAAATGTCCTCAAGAAATTAAGAAAAAAGAACATAGAGAAAATACAGTTATTTTTTCAGGTGAGAGTCATGTATCGACAGCAACCTTTTAAGACCATATTTCAATTGCTGATTTCGGGCATAAGTGAATGATGAACATGTCAGTCGATAAAGGTTTTGAGGTTATGCAATCCACGTTAATAGTAAGTAGCAGCCATGGACAATGTATTAAATCATTATTTTAACATAACACATAACAATACTAGTGCATGAACATCAAGTTGCAAGGATATAAATTAAATAATTAATGCAACAAATCACTTCTACTTTGGTGGTCTCCCGTGTTCAAATGAGCTCAAACAAACTGAAAATTTTTCAACTTAAATAATTTTACAAACTTCTTAACAACTAATTCCCTTATCCTCTTTTATGATTTTGTTATTCTCCAGTAAGAATCAAAAGGAGAGAAAAAGACCAACTTGGAGAACCAAAAAAAACCAGAGACAGCTGATACGTTATGGAAAAAAAGAAGGGAACCACTGACGTTTAAGAATAACTTTTAAGGTTTATGGCATGACACATTTGACAATGCCTACTGCAAAGTGAGAGAGACATTTAATATCAACTTATAGACCACCATCTGGGAGTAAGGCAGCAGAACAATTAGTAATAAAGTATTTTGGCAAACATACCTGAGTTCATAGTTCCACCAAAACCTAGCTGACTGGCATCTACTCCACCACCTATATACGGACCCTGTTGTCTAGCTCTGCCAAGCTCCTGCTCCAACTGAATGAGCTTCAAACGACTTGATTCTAACTGCTGAACATAAGCCTGTAGAGAAAAATTAAAATCGCATTTAGTAACACTAAACCACTTATTGCTCGTAGCCCATCTGTTTTAATGCATAGTCCTTCCTACCTTCTTCCGCAAACAGCTTTTACGAGCAGCCTCGCGATTTTGGGCAAGACGTCTTTGTACCTGTAAGTATTCATATTATTTCAGAAATAACTCTCAAAGTTAATTTTTTGTTATATTTATGTCCATAGATAGCGAACAGCAGAATTCTAAAGATTTATGGATGAAAATAATCATCTTGTCAAACATATCAGATCTATCAACATAATTAGGAACATGAAGAAGAACTATTTCAGCACTAATATCTTGATATAAAGATCATAATTAAATAGTGACTGAAACTATAGCAAAACTAAAGTTAGACTTCAATGGAGAAAGAAGACATTATAATTAAGAGATAAAAGACATCCAACATAGTTTAGTAGAACTGGAAATCCATATCTATATATGATAAGATTAAGACTATTTGTCTTGAAAGTAATTAGATAGAGAGAGATCGAGAGATCCACAGCCAGCATCCCTAGCAGACTTTACCTTGTCGGAAGGTTTAGATGCTTCTTGGTCATACTTGTTAGAAGGTCCGAGAGTACGTACCATGCGAAGTATCCTCTGACTAAAAACAAGTAAATAAGGATCTGGGCCTCAAATTGTCCACAATTTCAACCGTTGTTGTATACTTTATTTTTCCCAAAAAGCTGTTTACTTTTTGGTTTTTATTTGGTCCATCAAGGTTACCAGTTACTAATCACTAATTAGCTACACGTAACGTGGAGTGGGGGTTATCGTGCAACTAGTATTTTTTTTGGTCGGGGTTGATACATTAGTGATACTGGAACTTGTCGTGCAGTAATCAACGTGCTCCAATAGCTAGGATGATTTCATCAATTGCTACGAATATAAAAAAGCTCATATATATAGTTGTTGGTGTAAGGGTAAACGAATGGGTCTATTAATAAATTTTATATTAATATTCAGAGTTTGAATTTTAAAACTTTATTTATCGAAAAAAGTTAAATTTTATTATTTTTGTTTCGGTTGTTTCAAATATAATTAATTTTATCTCAAACTTGGGGTGGAGTTCTACGAGGAAAAACAAAAAAAAAAACTCATGGCCAGAATAATTACCATATTTATAAAAGTATTGTCAGTAAACTCATTTCAAATGTATTAGTATATTTTGAGAGACTTGGGATCAATTCTTTTTACCTATAGATTAGTTTGAGAGACTTGGGAATTAAGAATTAGTAAAATGATTACTTTTATTAATTTGAGATATTTATAAGAGAGAGAGAGAGAATACTTGTAGCGAGATATATAACTCAATTGTTAACATTTAACTATATAGTATATAATTTGAGACACTATATATAGCTTGTTTGAAGAGGTCGTAATGGCATCATTATGTGTGTGTCTGGATACATTAAGATGCTCAAAAAATATTATAGAGTACTGTGGATTGTCTAGTAGGAGAGGAAAGTAATGGAAAAATCAAGAAAGGATAAGTTTGAAAAATAATAATTATATAAATTAGGTCATGGTGCTAATGATGTGTATAAAGTTGCAACTACGGTCGTGGTGGTGCCTACTGTATGGTTGGATGATTCCTTAGTGATTTTGCTTTTCATATTCTCTGTTTTATTTGTTTTGAATAAATTAAGAATGGTTAATATGTCATCACAATTTTTGGTGCACTCTTCAAAAACAAAATCATCGACAGACGTGGAATAATCTCTCTCTCTCTCTCTCTCTCTCTCTCTCCACCCATATTTGGATGCCGTTTCTCTTGTTGATACAAATTACAATAAAACTAATCAAAATTATTAGTTATTATTTATTATATTATTTGAAATAATATTCACCCAAACTCATTTTATTCAAATTCAGATGTGGCATTTTTTTTATTATGCGAGTGGTATTTTTATAGTTTGTAAATATTTTTAAGACATTTATTATGAAAGTTTTCGTAATATTACATTTTGATCTTTTTTTAAAAAAATATTATTTTTCAGTCAGCAGATATTTTTATTTGATTTTGATCCCATTTTTTTATTTGATTTTGATCCCTTTAATCCTTTTTTTTCTCTGATTTTTTTTTTGTCACAAATTTTAAGGTATAAAAATGTTTAGAAAAAAAATAATAATTTACAAAAAAAGGTTTTAGCTAAAAATATGGATAGCGATAAATAAATAATATATTTTAATAAAAAATTATGAAAATATAAAAAATAATTAGTCAAATATAAAAGTTTGATTGAAAAAACGATAAAATTAAATTTTTATTTAATTTTAATTTGATATATTTTGATAAATATATTATATAACACTAGATATTAAAATAAAATAATTTTTAAAAATAATTTTATATATTTTATTCGAGATTGATAAAAATTTATATTAAATTATATCTTTGCTATCTGATACCAAACAATTTTTTCCGGCATGGATGCATGTGCATGCACGTGGAAAGTATACGTATCTGCTTATGTAAATGTTTTTGCATCACCAGCACCCAAGTTTTGACAAAGAAAAATTGAAAATAAGGAGAAGATATCGCCTTTTTTTTAACGAAAAATAGTAATTTATTAATATCAAAACATGCATGGACCAATACATTACTATGTTTACATTAAAATTATATACAAGAGCGTAACTGGAAGAATGAAGTTTTGTTATTTGAAGCAGATTTTGAAAGCAGCACAGATATCGAAAAATCTTTGGGAATAGCAAATTAATTGACTAAAATTTTTCATTTTAAAAACATAAAAAAAAAAACAAAAACAAAAACCATAGATAATATTGCTTGCTAGTTTTTCTAGCATTATTTTTTAAATGGATTTTCAGGCGTTAGTATTTGGGAATCACATAATAAACGAACCATGAATCTCTTGTTATCTTATCCAGGCCCAAAACCTAACTTAGACATGCAGGCCGAAGTATTTAATGAACTGTCATAACAAGCCCAAAATCCAACCATTAACCACCCAGTTGAAGTCGTTGTGGCCTTGACAAGGCGCTGATATTATTGCTCAAGCACCGCCATTTTATTTATTTATTTTTCTTTTCTCATCGACCACGCAACCACAAGATGATAGATAGTTGGTAAATACGTATTAATTTATAAATTAAGTCTAAAATTGGATTTTAGTGATTTGTATTTTTAAAAATTTATTTTTATAATATTCAAAGCAATGAGATAGGGAATGTCTCATAGTCATACTTAAAAAATAAATTAATTTTGAGATGTGTCAAAACTAGTTCAAAACATTCTTATTATTGAGAAATAAAAATCTTATGCTGATGCTTGGGGAAAAAAGTCAAAACCTTCCTTTTTTTTTTTTCTGAGGTGATGTGTCTGTATAAATAGACAAATTTAATTTTACATTACAAATTTTTTAAATCTTATCCTATATTTGTTATATTATTTTTAAGAACCTATCCATATCTCACCTAGAAAAACATCATCGTTATAAATCATATCATTTTTCTAATCTAAACTCCTACAACAAAAGCTAATATCCTTCATTCTTTTTTTTTTTTTTTTAGGAACAGAGGTCTCTTAGAATTTCTCCACGTAGGAAAAACAATTTTTTTAATTTTTTTATTGTCAGTTCCATATCTTGTAAGCTGTAATTGGCAAATAAACTAATAAATTATGCATTAGTCTTCTAGATTCAAGAAATGAATTAATTAATCATTTTGTTTTACAAATTAACTATTTAATTTTATATTTTTATAGTTTAATCTTTATTATTTATTTTTAATTTATTTTTTTAAACAATAAATAAACAAATATGAAATAATTGATGAAAAAAGATGACATTTTATTAAATAAAATAATATTAAATTAAACATAATTAACACTAGTCAAGAAAATAATTTATTCATCTCTAAAAAATAAAATGAATCCATTCATAATTTACTCGCATTTAAACCCTTGGGAGACTTAAAAAAAAAAATCACGAATCATGGAAAAATTTATGTCTCGTGATGATCATGCCGTTGCAAGTTGCGCATCATAAATACACGCGTGTATGGACCTCGTAATCCAGCACAAACACACGCGCACACACGTATGCATATCTTTTTATCCTTTTGAAGCTGAGGTTGGACGGATCAAAAGTATCCAAATTACTTAATTAGGGCTTTGAAAATCAAGCGTAGACAAATTATTTATGTGATTCTAAATAAATTTACGAAATTAATTGATTAGAAGCATATAGTTGTTTTAGAAATTAAATTATTAAATATTCTTACCGTATTATTTTTTCGCTCACATATAAGCGAGACATGTAATAACAACCGAAGATGTATTATTTGTAGAACCAATCTGACTTTAAAATTGAGTTATCGCTATAGCTTAATCATGTTCGATCAAGTGGGTGGTAAAAAAGAAAAAAGATCTGGTTAAAAGGATTGGTAAAATAAAAATTAAAAATAAAACTAATCCTATTTAAAACCAAAATGATAAAATTTAATTTTTTAAATTTTGAAAATGTACATTGAAGTACAGAATAATTCCCTTGCTACTAAGTTATTAATTTATTGATTTTTTTAAAAAAAAATTCAAGTAAAACCAAAACAATAAAAGTAAAAAAGGAATACCTGCTCCGGATAGTAGTATCTCAACAGTAATAAATGGTGGTTAGTTAACCCTAGTTAAACTATATTCTTGGTTTAACAACCAAACCATGGTCGCTCGCAGTCACAGACAGACGCAATAGAGTCTAAAACACGACAGAGAGACTTTAACGAAAAGCCACAGAGCTTAATAAATTGCAATTACGATTACAATAAATAAATATGAAAAGAAACAAATAAATAACAATCATTAATATCTTTTTAAAAACAACCACACTTGTCCTTTTTTAAGCTCTCTACGGGCAGCCCAAACCTACGATCTTTTCAAGTTTTACAAAGAGAACAACCCCTGCCCGACCTGCCCTAATCCTGACTGAGAAATTACGGGCAGTTAGTCAATCAGTCACCACACCGCACCAGTACACTCTTGCCTTCTCTTTCTCTGCTTCTGAAGATATTTATTTTTTTCTATATCTTGTCGACTCTCTCTGTCTCTACGATCAAGATCCAACGGTCCAAAATGAATGGAGTCCTTAAAGCTTGTTTCTTCAGGTTTTAGACCCTGAAACCTCCAGATCTGCTCTCTCTGCGCTCAGATCTCCGTTCCTGGTATGCTTCTCCTCTCTGATTCTCTTCTATGTGTTTCAATTTCTCTGTTGTTTTCACTGCTCTGCTTGGTTCGCTTCCGTTTGAGTTCGGTTCTGTACTTTTTCACAGAAAATGGAAGTTTTTTCTGTTTGTTTCTTGTTTACTTGCCGTTTTGAGAGTTTTGTGTGCGTTTTTAAGTCAAATTAGCTCATTTTGCCTCAAATTTCTGGTTTCCTGTTAATTTCGAGCAATTCTTCGTGTTTTGTCTGCCGTTTTTGTGAAGTTTTGCTCGTTTTTGCTTCAATTTCTCTGGTTCCGTTGAATTTTGATTCCTTCTCAATGAAAATTTGCTTGCTTTGCGTCAAGAACTGTTGAGTTTTTAATTTGCTATGCAAACTTCTTGGTTCTTCAGGAATTTGACTGCTTCTGTTATGATTTCCGTCGTAGTTAACTTCATTTTGTGTTCGTTTTTCAATTTCAAGTTCTATTCTGAAGCTCTCTGTCGAAGTCTGTCGCCGGCAAGGGTTTATCTTGACAGAAAGTAGTTTTTTGTCTAATTCTGATGAATATCCACTTGAACGAAACACTTTTTCCTTAAAATTCGTTACCACTGTTTAACTTTTTCCACTGTTAAACGAACTTTCTTTAATACTCGATTTTTCGTTTTTATAATTATGATTTTCAGTTTTTTTTTTCGATTTTCTTGTCTTTTGTGTGTTGTCAGATCTGACGGCTGATACGGTTTTTGGGAACAGATCTAACGGTTATTGATCCTATTTGTGTAGGTGTTTTTATTTGTCTTTTTTTCTTTTTTTGACGCACGCAAATGGAGGCTAAGTACGGTTCAGTGACAGTTACTCTTGCTAACGGCTTGCTAATGTGCGCCGGCGATGTTTTGACTTCTTTGCTTGTTTCTGCTCTCTTCAAAGCCCAACTTCTGTCTCAGGTAAGTTATTAGTGTTCGCTTTTGCTAAAAATTGATTTCTTCTTTAGTTGTTGCCTAGCTTGATGTCCTTTAAGACGTTAACGTGCGCCTTTTTCTATTCACCACTTGATTTTCCTAACGTGGTTTCCTGCTCTCCTTTGTTTCTATTTCTAGTTTCTTTTAGGTAGCCAAGCGTGTTTCATGTTCCATTTTCTGCTATCATGCGCCGAATCTAGCTAGTTTTGGGACCTTTAGTCCTCTTTGCCATCACGTTGCTAACTTGCGCACAGCGCCTTTTTTGGGTTGTAGGGTGGACATTTTCTTAGGTCTGAGCTTAGCGTGCGCGTACCTTTTTGGGTTTTCTGGCTTTTATCTTGCGTTATTGCCTTGTATGCGTACTTTAGGCTAGCGTGCGCACCCCTCTTTTTTTTTCCGGGGATTAAAGTGCGCCTTGGATTTTGAATGAATATTTGAGGTTTGGACGGTTTAGGACACAGTTTGAGTTCCGGTTTGTTTTCAATGGTGGACCGGTTGGAATGTAAAAAATCTCTGTTCTATTTATTTATTTTTTATGTGCCGTTGTGATAGAAAATGTCAGGTCAAACGTGAAGCATCTTTGATGCTGTCAAGGCTGTGTTAGAATATCCTTTTCGAGATGCCTTGTAGTGTCATATGTTATGTCGTTGGAGATAGAACTATTCCTACTCAGCACGTGTTATTTTCTTATTTTTTAAAGTCGTAGAATTTATAATAAAATATATAATGATGATATATCTTTGATTATTTCAAATGATAAATCTGGTAGAGTACGAAGGGTCTCCAATTTTTGGCATTTACTGTGATTGTGATTTGTCTCTTCTATTTGTATTTTTCTCACCTCTTATTGTACTGTTTGACTTGTCCCTCTCCCACCGACTTTCTTTATTTTATATTTTTAGGTCATTCATTGATCACCACACCAGGCTGAACTTGTTCAATTTAGACCAACCAAGTTTCAGGTAGTTGAGTTGAGACCCATTAAAAAAAAAAAAAGTCCAGTTGTTGGGGTTGGTTACATGAATTTTATGGCGTATTTTCGTTCTATCATTTGTGCCCCTTGTAATGAAAGATGTAGTTTTATGTTGGGTCGTTACCTACTCCTAATCTCCTAGTTTCTTTTTTCTTTTTCTTTTTAATGAATAGTCCTAGTTTTGTGTCATAGGTTGTCACCAACATAAATTGAGATGGCAAATATGTAAAAGCCACTATTTTCTTTAGTTTGCTTTTATGATCCATGATAGAATCTCTGTACTGATGGCTGGAATTTGGAAAAAGAAAAAAGAAAGTCCAAAAAGTGAAAGATGAATTATATGTAGAATCTTGATTTAAGGTAGCGTGGCTGGTGAAAGGATGTTACTCTTGCATGTGAAGAGAACCTGATTTCCCTTTCCCATCGTGGTTGCAGCATATGTTCCAGTTGCGCCATGGTCATGTTGCTCTTTCTTTTCAAAATAAGGAACAAAGAAATATATACTTAAAAAAAGGGTGAGAAACGAACCTGGTTCCCTCTGTCGTGTTCTTTAATAAGATACTTTTACTGACTCCCTCTTTAAATGGAGATAGTTTATGGCCCTCGACGCTCATCCGCATCTTTTGATTCCATTCCAACAACCAGCTTGGAATTCCACTCTTATTTTTTCACTTATTCTTCTAATTGCAGTCTTTTCGCAATTGCTTATGGTATTATGCCATTAAACAAATGTCCTAAACTGATGTAGTTGGAGGTTGAAAAGTTCCTTTAAGGCCAAAAGAAAGAAAGGGAGGATAGCTACTAGTTAGCAAACAGTACTTTCCAATTTAAAAAGTAAAACTCAAAACAAACAACTTCATTGATTACCTAGATGTATTTATTCATCAAAAAGTGAATGAGCTCCAAGTGGTCATACATCAATTTCACGGGTAAAATAGTTTATAGAGTACTTTATGTTTGCTTGTGTACCTTGTTTGCCATCTTCATAATATGGCCTGTTTTTTCTGTTTCTTATTTAAGCATACGTGATGATTTGTAACCTTTTATTTAAGGCCAGTCAATGGAAACTGTATTTGTACTGCTCTACTATTAATTCGATAATATTTAATTTACTGATTTGGAGACCTTGTTTCCAACAGTTATTTATTGCCTATGATATGCAAAGTCTCTGTTTGACCTGCGATGAAATGCTATTTTATAAAATTGGTCTCAGGATCACAGTGGGTTGCTGCTGACTGACAAACCTAGAATGAAGGGAGATGAGGCACAAGGCTATGACAAGCCAGTTGATGCAGAAGGAGATGATGGCAATGATGAGGACGATGATGATGAAGATGATGAAGGGGATGGTGGATTTGGAGAAGGAGGAGAAGAATTGTCCTCTGAAGATGGCGGGGATGTTGGCAACAATCCCAACAATAACAAGAGCAACTCAAAGAAGGGTCCAGGTGGAGGAGCAGGCGGGGCAGAAGAGAATGGAGAAGAGGAGGAAGATGATGATGATGAAGATGGTGAAGGTCAAGACGATGATGACGACGACGATGAAGATGATGATGATGACGACGACGACGATGGTGGGGAAGAGGATGAGGAAGAAGTTGAAGAGGTAGAGAATGAAGAGGACGAAGAAGATGATGAGGAAGCCCTCCAGCCCCCAAAGAAGAGGAAGAAGTGAAGTAGGAGGGTAGTGGAGTCTCCTCACTCCAGATATACTGTTTGTTTCTCAGTGACTTGTTATCTAACCTTGTTGATCTACTTAGATTACGAGGAGGCCTGTTTAGGATAATGGTATTATGCATAATTATCGTATTTTCCATGCATGGTTAGAGTACTTATAGAACTGTGAGCTGCGGCAATGATTAATTCCAAAAATGTAATGATTATGATCTTTTAGCTACATTTAATCAGAGTTTCTATTGTTACTGATGTACTGCCTACTTCCAAATGGGCTGGTTTTATGGAATGATTTGGCACGTGGCGGACATCTCAAAATCTCATAAGTAACCGTTGCTAAGTATAACATGAAACACAAAGGTAAAGGATGGATAAAACTGATGATAACCAGTCCTTATTGGGTGTGGTTAGAGGAGAATGGGCAAAAGATGTGGTGCTTTTGAATTTAATTGTTACAACAATTCGGACGTTTGACGTTTGTGGGAGGGCCACCTTTGCCAAAGAAAATCATAAAACTAGATATCTTATGTTTAATAGAATCCCCAAACCCGATCGTTTGCCACATAATTCGTTGTTTGGATGCTGATAGAGAGGAAAGGCACCTCTCTTTTTGGATTTCTTTTTTATTTGTTTTTTTTTTTTTTCTGTTCAGGGTGTAGAGGAGGGTACTCCCTCCTTTCCATTTCAACAGTGAATCGGATTCCATCTACAATCTATAGAAAGAAACAGCAAAGCTGGCACACAAATGCCGAGATCAAATTAAAGTTGTTCATATGTACAATTCAGAACCGCCATGCTCATTTTGTTTAGTACAGACCTCCAATAACATTGGCAAACGAGTAATTGAAAATTCAAAATATCTTGATCAACAAGTGCTTTGCTTGTTAACATAACAGACAAATCATTTCCATTCCAT